CACACACACACACACACACACACACACACACTTTGATCCTGGTTGGCAGCTTGCCATTCAGATTAGTGATTCCTCTTGGCTGCCTCTCACCGGCCCCCTTCCCTGGCTTCTTTCTATTGGTAAGACAACTGTCGTGAGGTATGCAGACCTTTGTAAACTTTTGCAACCCCTGGAGCTCATAGAGATGGGAGCAGTTATTCTTGACTTTTCAGAATAGACCGGAAGAGCTTAGTTGACCCTTTGTCACAAGGCAGAAACAGTGGGGCTGCCACTAATAGATTCTCTACGTACACATTAACGTTAAACACACATGTGTTTGTCTCGTGGGGAAATAATAGATCTGCCCCTGGGTCTCTTTCCTAAAACTGGTCCTTCATTTCAGACTCCTGTGTGCTCTGTAGGCTTCTCTAGCTGAGGCGGTGGCAAGATTTGGTCTGAGCCTTCCTAGCTCATTTGTAAGGGTGTGGCTGGCCTTGTTGCCTTTGTCCTTTGTGACGTTTGAATTGCAGTGGCATTGGTCTGGAGGGTGGCTTGTCCTTGGTTAGATCAGGCACACCCGATATACTTGCCTTTCCTTCACTCTCCCCTCCCAGCTTTGCCTGCCTGACTCCTAACTCTGGATTCTTATCTTTAAATGCAGACAGTTTGGAAATGCATGTTGAGTGGGCTGCTCTGTGCTTGTTCCTATACCCTTCCCATCACTGAGCTTTTGTTTATTGGCTGCTTACATTCCATATCCTGCCGTTCTCTGCTCACACGTTACCAAAACAATCTGTAGGGTTACTGATTCATTACTCAGCTTTGACTTCTCAGAAATAAGAATACTTGGTATTCTCATTGTCCGTAATGTTTCCTAGTCAAGTCTTAAACCCTTATAACCTTATTCTGTAAATGACTTCTATCAACCCAGTGTTATATATACATATAACTAATCATATATATATATATATACACATATATATATACACACACACACACATATATATATATGTATATATATAAAGTATAGATCCTGGAACCAAAACTAAATCTAAGCAGTGACTATGATTTAGGAATAGTTTCAAAATCACTTCTAACTTGCTGTATGACTTTAGGCAAATAATTGAACCAAACACTAAGTCTAAGTTCACCTTAACCCATAAAATTAGGATTGGATTAGATCATAAGTTTTTCAAGCCAAGTTAGTTGGGATGGGGATGGGAATGATAAGAAAGCTCAGTGGGTAAGAACCCCAGGCTCCTCACTCAGATGATTCTTGTGTGTATGTATTTTAGACTTTTGCTCTTAAATAAGTTGGAAAACTACTGGTCAGATGGTCTGAGATTCGCCTCCAGCCTTGGCATTCTATGACCCCTCTAGCAATAGCATCTACTTTGCAAATTGCATTAGACAAGGACACCTAAGCTGTATCAGAAATAGGTCCAAACTCACGATGGCACTTGACATCATCTGCAGTCTGGTTCCCAATACTTGTAACCAAGGCTCTGAGCTGGCTGTCCCAATGTTCCTGTCCCTTTGCTTCTCTCATACTGTTCCCAGCAGCACATGGATTGTTCGTAAGCCTTTCTTCCCCATTCAATCCTTCTGTCTTCAAAAAAACTGGTGTAAAAATGCCCTGTCCCTCCCATAGAAGTCTTTTTGTTAGTTGTCTGTCTCCCCAGAGTACCTTTTCCCACTTTGGTGGCTGAGTACACGTTGCCTTTCTGGCAATTGTATGTCTCTTTAGGAGAGGGCGAGGATCTTTGTTTCTTCATTCTAACCACCCAAAGCCTAGCGTTGTGCTTTTCTGGACATGCCATAGATCCATCATATGGCTCAAAAACTCTTTTCTCTTTCAGGATCGAATCATCAATTTAGTTGTTGGCAGCTTAACATCCTTATTGATTCTAGTAAGTATCATTATTTTGTGTGTCACCCAGGCTCTTAGCTCAAGTTTTGAAACCTTTAGTGTTGTCTTTCAATGAACTCTCCAAAAAAGGACTTAAATGGGGCCAGTACATGAGCGTGTGAAGTATTCCAGGCATAGCTAATGCTTTCAATTTTATTACCACTTAAACAAAACTGCAACTGGTAACTGGAGTAGCTAAGTTGATTTTCACCCTCACCACTCTGGTTTAATATGTGAGACAGTACAAGTCAAATAACTTACTTTTCTGAGTTTGCCTAGTAAGTATGTAACATGTCAGTGGCTACCAGTAACTCCCTTCTGTACATAACCTACAACTCCCATTTTTTCTGCTATACTGAGTTTATTTTGTTCTTAAAGCACATTCATTATCCTATGGTTTAAAAAGATTTGGCCAGTATACAGTAACTTTTCATCCCATTGTATAGCTTGGTGCTATCACAATAAAATAAAAACAAAGCTCTATTTCCCACATACTGGCAATGACATTGGGCACATTTTCATTAAATGTAAGGACATTTCAGTGAACTTTGTTTCCATGACATCTTAATAAAAAGAAGGTATATTGCTGTATCGATGGTAGAAACAGAACTCGACAGGGCATTAGAAACCTTTCAGTGTTTTTCATGTTAAGCAAAAAACAGTTTTGGTTTTAATTTTTTGTCGGAGTATTCATATTCACAAAAAGGTTAGAACTTTTCCCAATACAATGATTAATCCTGGGAATGAAGCTGAATTGCCTTCTTTGTTAATGAAGGGTTTATTTTGAGGTTCGTTTTCACTGCTCTGTTTTGTCTCCTTTCATAAATGAGGAAAAGGTTAGAAAGAGGAAGTACTAAAAGAAATAACAAAATCAAGCATATTTATAAATATTTTATTAAATATGTTAACATTCCAGAAGGCCAATCTGGTGATGGGTATCATTGTACTGTGGGAGGCATTTTGTATTATTACGCTGCCTAGCCTCCAGTCTAACCAAGTCTTGGAATTGCTCATAAGGCCCAGTGTAATTTCTCTTCATACAGGTAACGCTGATCAGTGCTTTTGTTTTCCCTCAACTACCTCCAAAACCGTTGAATATATTTTTTGCCGTCTGCATCTCTTTGAGTAGTATTACTGCCTGCATACTTGTGAGTACTGTTTAGAATTGAACTTGAGTATCCCTGAGGGCTGAAGGTTGCAGTGCCCAGGACAGATTCCCAGCCCTGGGTCTATATGAAAGGTTATCTATAATTACAACTCCACCCCACCTCCCAAGGGTGCCAGAATTCTTGATACTAATTGCAGGGTTTTCTTTTTTAATCTGAGTTTCTTTTCTCTTACATCCCAAAGTTGATCCTAAAGGGAAACTGTTCCCTTGATAGCTAAAAAATAGAAGGAAAATAATAGTTTAAAAACTTAGGTGGTCAAAGATTTGATGTAATTTACTTAATTCATCTTCCTTCAATGACTATATACAGGCCCCAAGAGGGTTTGGGAAATGCCATTACTGCTCAAGGGAAGAGATACAGCACTCTGGATTTATTTCTAATAATTACAAAATTAGTCTCTTAATGTAAGTGCTTATCTCCTCAAATTAAAGTAATTAACTCCCAAGTCTCTAGGGAAACCTAAAGCTGCAGTTGTATCCTTGTCATGAGAATGTTTACTTTTACTACAAAGAAGCCTTTCTTTTAGATAAAGAAACAAAGACAGTGGTGGGTTTCAGTTAGGTATTTGCCCAGTATTCAGTCATTTGAGGAGAGGCAGAATCAAAACTGTAAACCCTTAACAGCAATTGTTTTGACTCACCTAGGGCTTAAATAGTAATGATAATGTGCTTATCTGAGTTAAAATTAAAAGGTGGGATATCTCCAAGCTTTTAATTTGCTGACTCTGCTGTAGTTCTATGACCTAAGGGAAGAACTGGCCCAGCACACTTTGGGAACCTTTGGAACAAAGCCACCAGAGATGCTCTCCCCCTATTCCCAGCCTGAAGCCAGAAGTGACTAACAGTGAGCTAGTGTAAACCAAATACACATGCGCGCTCGCGTATGGAAGCCCAGTTTTGTATTGGCAGCCTGTTACATATAAATGTAAAAGTTGGCCTACCTTCCAGTACCTCAAAAAATTGCGTATTTTACTCAAATATATTTAAAGTATGTGCAGAAGGCACATATTCTTGGATGGTTTGCCACATGACTCTGTTGTTCTGAACTTACAATCAACTTAACTGAGAAAGCAGGAATAAGTATAATCTTGGATGTGGAATCTTGGTACTACTTGAATGATAAAGAATAAGAATTAAGTTCTGGCTGTATTAGCGTCAGGAATATAGATTAATGAAGACTGTCTCATTTAGGGGAGAAAAAAATTAAGTTGTATTTTAAATTTTAAATACTTGACCCCATGGCTATTACTTAAACTTATATTTAATTCTTCTTCTTTTAGATCTACTGGTATCGACAAGGAGACTTAGAACCGAAATTTAGAAATCTAATTTACTATATCTTATTTTCTATCATCATGTTATGTATATGTGCGAACCTGTACTTCCATGATGTGGGAAAGTGAGACTGCCAAAGAGAAAATACTTACCAGGTCTCTTCAAAGCTCTAAGGACTCTGAATAAGAGCTGGGTAAGGTCTGCTGAAGAATCTCCTACACAAGTCTGACACATGATTTTCATGTTACTTGTAAATCTAAATTCCCTCTTGCAGGGGAGACATATCATAGATCACTTTGCTTTTTCTTTTAAGGAGCTGGTGTTGCACTTAAAACATTCCAGCCGCACCTCAAACAGCACAAGTAATTTTCACTTTTGAAATTAAAAATTTTTATAATGTAATTGCATGGCGAAAGGCTATGTAACAAATAATCTTGCATTTTAAGACAAATATTCTTTTATTTCTGTTAAACTGAATATACAGTTGTTCCCTAGGCAACCAACTTTTGCTTTTAACTACAATTTAATATCACGTTAACAAAACACAGACGGTGAAAAGACAACTTTTGATTGTGAAGGTCTAATTACAATAATAAATAAAATAATTTATACAAGGTTTTTTCTTTTTGTGACTTTTCTGTAGGGGTTATATGCATTAAAGCCCTAAGAGGCTAGTTTTGGTTTAACCTTCTCTAGCGTAGGAATGACTTGATTTGTTTCCTTTCATTACAGAAGCAAATTTCATTTTTTAAAATTGCCTGAGAGGGAGCAGTTATATTGCACCCTCACCAGCTAATGCACTAAGTGAACGGCAAACTCTGATACCTTCCTTAGCTATTTTCTGGATAATTCATATAGCAAAACATGTAAGAAACGCTCATGGTATAGGATAGGGAACTTGACTTCCTTCCCATTTAATTTTACGTCAAAGTGCTAATTTTGTAAACTGATGACAGTGGGGTCTGAAAGAGTGAAAACTACTTAGCTTCTGATGAGCTTTGTTACTACTCACATCCATATTCCCTTTAAAAATAAAAAACCTGTAGTGCATGTTCTTAACTATTAATGCTTTCTACCCAGCTTACATCAGCTCCCACTGCCAGCAATGGGTAAACCAATGGTAACTGCCACAGTCACTTAGGTCTGTGTCCTTGTGGGCTGGTCAAGTCCGAAACTATCGGGAATCTTTGAAGGGGGTCACTGGTAAGCTCTAGAGCACGTTGATGTGACCTCTCTGAAATATGAACAGGCCTATTTGAGACCGGATAGAGACTCCTGTCTGATCTTTAGAGATGAATGTTACTGCTTTTAAAGCAGTAGTTAAACTTTGGTGATTTTAAACTTTTCTCAGTGGCTGAAGTGAATGAAATTCCCTGCTGACAAATGGCACTAATCACAGGGCTCTCTGAAGGTAAGACCCCCATACTCCACCAGCCACACAAGTTTATAAGACTAGACCTCATGATACATTTAAAGGAGGTAAAAAGTCATAGCAGCAACACTGTATGTGGCTTAAGCACTGTAGCTATTTAAAAGCCAGAGCGGAATGGTAAGTTAAGCCTCTTGGGAGTTGCTCCTATTTCTTTGGAGATGTTGTAATTAACAGTGTGGCTTCTTTGCCTGAGCTACCTGTTTCTAAGAATTACCTAATGACAGTTTACCAAATCCTCAACATCCTTTGAGTCTTCTGAAACAGGACTGCCCAAAGATGATCCAATGATATTTAATTCTTCTCGATGATGTTGGAGTATGGGATCTGCAATGAGGAAGTTTCAAGTTAGTCTTAAATGTATATATTCTCTAAACCATGTCATGAATCTAGCGTAAGTATTCTTCTACCGAATATATTCTCTAAACCATGTCATGAATCTAGCGTAAGTATTCTTCTACCGAAGTGCAAAATTTAATAAGACTAATCTTTATTGTTGGATCTAGAAAATCTAAAACAACTAAATTAAATACCTGCCTGTCTGGTTTCCCCCTTAAGACTTAGCGGGCACATGATGGAGCCATAACAGTACCTGTTAGTGTTGTCAAAGGCAAGACAGATTCTGTATCGATAACATCAGATGCCTGGATAAAGCCATGTGGTGAAGGAACAATAAGGATTGTTTCATCATCAATTGTCGTTTGATCTACTTGTTCTTCTATAGTAGGAGACTCTAAATCCTAAATAATAATAATTAAAGAAAATGAGATTCTGACTCATTCCTTATTTTCCTTAACATCCAAACATTTAGGTTTGAAAGGAATTAACTTGCAAACATTATCCCATTTTAAAATTAGAATATAAAAGAAATGAAAAGTCCTAAAATGGACTAAAGTAAAAACTTCATATCTAATGTATTAAATTAAAAAAAAAACCTAAGAGAACCAATTCAGTTATAGGTCCCCCTGAATATAGAAGAAATAATTCTGTTCTATTGTGGGGTGAAGTTCCTAAGCTAAACCACAAAGATCTACAACTAACCACCCTCAGGAAAAGGCTTCCATGGGTTCCAACAAATATTTCTAAATATATTGGAGGTAGAGGGAAAGCTTTTAGTGACAAACAGTAAGATAGCAACACTGCTGGTTGTCTGATACTTGTGAGGTCAGAGGTGGGGGTTTGCACTTTCTTTTGTGTTTAAAGAAAAAAGTTAGGTACCAGAGGTTATGGCTCTTTTAAAACTGTAGATTTGAGCTCACGGTGAGAACCCACAGGCCATTCCCTTCAGTGCAACTTACCTCAGTAACGTAAGCACGGGCTAAATGAGAGGGTGATTCCTCTTGTTTAAGGTCTTCTGTTCTGACCATAACACTATTCATCAGTTCTGTGCTATTTTGGTCACTGAATTTAGATATATGAGCATCATTAAATGATGGCTCTACAGTCACCTTAGGTTGATGAATTTCATCTGGGAAAGTATCTGCTTCCAGGGCATCTGGAGGCTCAGGAAAATCAGATGAGTGAATATCACTATCTACTGTCAGTTCTGCTTGGGATATGGAAGCAGTGATGTCCTCTGTGGCGACTGTCTGAATGATGACTCTTGGTGTGTGACACTGCACTGTAACATTATCACTTGTGTTCAACAAATGTTCTGGCTATAAAATGTTAAAGAAAACAATCAATGGCAAAATGAAAAAGTATCTACCATATTTAAGTTACAGGCAACAAATGACATTTATAGGCGCTAATATGGGCTACTGTCCCCCCACCTCTCACCTCTGGCCTGTGGTGCTCTTATCCTGCTTTCCTAGACATCCTGTTCTTTACCCATTGGGGTCGCTGCTCTCCTAATGTCCCTATTCCCCCAGATCTTATGTATATGTTTTGAGATTACAGAAGCATGACAAAACCTTACCTGTCCATCACAGGTAAGGAGACATGGGGGAGGGATTTACCCCAGCGAAAGCAGAGGGACAACTAACTGTATTAGTTTTGGCTCTTATATTTTGCATCTCCTAATCCTGGTCCTTAACAGGTACTTAAATACTTGAACTGAGCTCAAAATCAACTCCCCCCTGCCCCAAGACATTGTTACTGAAAGCACATAGGTTCTATCATATTACTAAAAACTAGAAAAGTAAGGTATGTAGGGTGACATACGGATAAAGCGTGAACAATGATCTGTTCCGGAGACGCAGGGGCAGCAGCCGTCAGGGTTACTGTGGGACTAGCAGTCAGAGTTAGGGGAAGACCTTGGCTTGAGCTGGTTTGAAGTAGGTAGGTGCCTGGAGTGCCAGTGGGCTGTAAGTGGAAAGACTAAAGGAGAGAAAAACAAGGTCAGCACAGGTACAGCAGACTACTAAGGAAGGACACTTCCTAGTACTCAATAAGTCCAGCTTTACATCCCAAAGGGGGACCGACTGGAATTTACTAGCCACAAATGTACTTCCCAGTTGAAGGTGCAAATGAGTAATAAAATGAATGGTATGATATTCTTGACTATTTATTGTAAGTCATGACTTTCCCTGAAGGTTTAACAGGCAAGGCCTTGCTCCTGCTTGTCACTGCCTGTATTTCTATGGTCTGGTCTCAGTGATTTGTGTCACGGCACGAAGACAGGGTCAAATGAGCCGCTTTCCAGGCAGTGGCCCAGCACACCATCTAGCCTCGTTACCCTTTGTGTAGCATACAAACACTGGCAGTCTACAAGTTTAAAAAGCTGCACATTTCTGAAAAAGTACTGCAGCAGTGTTAACTTGCACAGATTTTTTTTTCATAGTATAATTTTAACAAATATTTTTTATCAGGTATTTGGCAAATATTTAGGGAAAATGTACAGAAATAGCAATTAGCAGTGTTTTGAAGGAAAAAGAAAATTTCTACGTGAAAAGTTGGTTAACATATCTTATGTATATTTTTTGAGATTACAGAAGCATGATGAAACTATTCAACACACATACATCCTAACATCCTAAAGGAAAAGTATTTGCACTTAAAATAGACCTTGTGGTTAAAGGCACACAGCCTGTTCTTTAGTTTGATGTGGTCTGTGGACTTAAGCCATGACTGCTCTTCTTAGTCTCACTGAATCTCAGTTTCCTCATTGCTAAAGTGAGCGTAATAACTTCTCACGGTAAGGGTTGTGAGGATTAGAAATGATTACAGTGGTGTCTGGCACACAGTGGGGACTGAATTTCTTTTCTTCATAAAAGTGAAAGCTGATTGTTTTCCTAATGGTTGTATTTATTAATCACATAGGCAGTAAATACATGTATATTATAATGCATGTACTTGATTTAATATACTGAAATACATTGAATGCTCAATTTTTTGAAGCTGAGGCACTATTATCTCCTATTAATAAATTAGGACAGAAGTCTCTAAATATTTGATTATAACCTAAGTAAAAACCCAAATACATACCCTCAATATATATGTACATTTTAATTGTCCAGTGGGAGGGAAAGGTAGCAAAAAATGTGAAGTTCTGTTTTCTACCTGTGAAAAAGGGTTATCTTATACATCCCTATTTTGGAGACGACTGGTTTAGGAAACTGAGGTTTAAGTAAACTTGTAGAAGTTACAAGATGGTTCTCAAAAAGAACGTTTTGCTGTGTTGGCCTGGCCTTGTGAGATTTGGCTGTAGAGAAGATAAACTCTTGCACTAATACCCCTTATGTTCTTCACAGCAAATAAATCTTGACATAATTTAAATAGAATCTACTTTATATTTTCTTCCTGAAAAATGAGCTAGTTCTGGGTTTACCCTATTTTATAAAGCACGGCAAGAAGCAGGACTTGAAAATTTCCATCACCCCCCCAAAAGAAACCCCATTCAAATGAGCAGTCATGCCCCTTTGCTCCCCCAAACCCCTCTTAGTTAGCGTGGACAGCTACCATCTACTTTCTGTCTCTATAGGTTTGCCTATTTTGGACAGTTCAAATAAATGGCAGTCATACACTATATGGTATTTTGTATCTAGTTTCTTTCACTTAGTATAACGTTTTCAAGGTTCATACTTACTGTAGCATATATTAGTACTTCATTCTTTTTTATTGCCAAATAATTGTATGTATGGCTACAGCACATTTTATTTACCATTTATTAGTGGATGGATGTTTGGGTTTCCAGTTTTTGGATATTATGAATATGAACATTCATGTATAAGTTTTTATGTGGCC